GGCGATACGTGGGACGACGTCTTTGAAAGAGATGAAAGGGGACTCACATCTTCTTTTTGAGCCCAACCATCGCTGAAACTGAGTACGTAACATTTACCCCCACAAATAAAGATCAACCTTCCAAAAATAAGCTCACTATACACAAACATATTTGCCAAACCCCAATGATATGCACATGTCCTATAGTTGATAAGGTAAACAACATGAAATATTTTGGTGTATATCTGTCTGTTTCAAATCTGTTTTTTCGTTAACCAGCTGTCGCCCCCATACGAACGACAACTCTTAGAAGTTGAGAAAGTTGTGCGAGTTAAGGACTAACGAGGTCTTACCTTTTAACGTGTGATTCCTAACATGGTTGCAGGATCATCCCCGCTTCAACCAGATGAATTCTCTCGAGAAAAATATCTGGTCGAGGCGGAAATCGAACCCACGGTCTTCCGATCGTGAGTCGGGCGCATTATCACCGCCACCAATTCCACATATGTAGATCAACATCTACAATGGGACGAACATGTAGACCAGACCGTTGAAAGACTTAGTAAATTATCTTATAAATTCTACCAATTCAGTATTCTCAATAATAACAATGATATATAACTCATTCACAGAATCAGTTCCGAGATATTGCATTATAATATGAAGTGGCGTCAGCAAAAGTCTATTACATATTCTAGAGGTAATGCAAAATACTATCCTGAAAATAATTTTCAATCATAAAAAAGATACTCCACTGTAGATAAGATACTCCAGATACTGTAGAAAAGATACTCCACTGTACAAAGAATCAGACTTATTTGATGTGAGAAAATTATACACTTATCACTGCATATTATGGATGCATAATAACCCCACCCCCAATATAAATCATAATTATGAAACCCGAGCCAAACTTCATCAAAAAACGAATGTCCCTTGCTGTAGATTAACTTGCACTCAGAGATGTATATCATACTCTGGCCTAAAAATGATAAATCTAGTCCCTTTAGACATTAGAGAAATCTCCAATAAATACAAATTCAAGTAAAAACTGAAAGAACATGTGAATCAAAACTATGACATATTGAAATCTGTTTATGAACTGGATTCATAATCGAAGTTCTCTCTAGGCTATGAATATAAACTACATCCAATTGTAGGTAATTTCTTGAATTACTAGAACAATCCAACGGCAACTTCTCTTCGAATATTACTCTCTCTTTCCACCAATTTTCCTTCCTTCCAACTATTTTGTATCAGTTGTATTCACATTGTCAGTATGAGTGTTTGCTTCATTATGCAACAATGATACCTCATTTATATGTATGTGTTTATGTATGTATATNGAACTAAAACTGGCATCAACTCAATTTCACACATATTTGATATTTTTGGTCCAAATACTTAGCACCAATTAGTTGTCAGCGGTTTGAACTGTCTTGCTGTGACACAAAAGGGCTTTACAGGATCTGTTTAAAAATCTGTTTAAAAAAAATCTCATCCTCAAACTCAAAGATTAACATTAAATCTACAACTGAAACACATGCTGACTGTTCTACACACCAGCATAACACGAACAACTAGGTAGTATGAATATTAAGTTCATGCCTTATTTGTTTTCAAGATACGGGAAATATCAGTTTGTCGTTCTGATAAGTCAGTAAACATTGTTATTATAATCCGGTACATGTAATTGTCGCTTTTCTGATGAAATTGTCTCGAGTTCAGTTCAAATCATATTCCAGCATGACACTCTAGCCGTGTCAGGTGTTAAATTGATCAGAATAAGTTTTGGATCGGTTAGATCCTTAATCCTTAGCAATTGTTGAGCAATGTACATCATCACCACTTACTTGTTTTTTGCAACGTTAATTCACCCTTAGATAGCACTAAGTAGGTATTTCTAACTTTTTTGGTTTTAAGAGTTTTTTCTCATTTCGTGTTAACCGCATGAGGAAAAAAATAAAGAATATGGTCGGATTCCATTTTTTACGAGCTTTTCAATACACGACATAGGTATTGCAGCTATGGGGGAGGGTTGCAGCTAAGGGGTTGAAAAAAAATTAATTTTATTGCCAAGAAATGCGTTCAACGTGAAATCAACTGACGTGTTTCAGCGTTTTTTCCTAAAATACTGGTTAAAAAGATATTAATTTTATTCCGGACTTTTGCGCACCCCTGTATAGAAATTATTATGAAAGGTCTCAACTTACTGTTAGTGAGGATGTCCGTGTCGAAAAAGGTGTTACATTTAAGCAATTGAAACATGTCAATACAATAAAACAAGTCACTACATTAAAAGCGGTTGACTTCTCACTGAATATAAAGAAGATTATTGAATCAAAATTTACTAAAAATCGTTATTTGTTTTAAAATTATGGATTACCGGTAAAAGCCATGTGGTTGAAGAACAAAGAGAGAGAGACAACAAACAGTTGACAATGACAGCTGTCATGTGATTCAGTTTGAAAAGGTGTGTTTGTGTTTCTATGGAACAAAGGAGAACTCTTATGGTGCGAGTGAGATCAGAGACATCTGCTGTTATATATGTGAATCAATAAGAGTACCCAAAATCAAATATGTCCAATTTAATATTAATTTTTTGACAACACCCTTATCAGTTTTGAGGAAAATAAGTGAAGAGGTGTAGTTGAATGAAAGTAAAAGCCTGCCATAGGGAGGTTGGAAATTTGTTCAGAAATATTTAAAATATTATGTTATTATTTTCAATGTTAAGTAGGAAGGCATATATTTCACTGAGGTGATCAATGTCTGATCTTCTATCAAGGCAATTATTTGATTGTAATATAAATGACATTTCCAAAAACAATTTTGTCGATGTATTTCTTTAAATTGATAAGATGTAAGTTGAATTATAGTATATTTTATGACCTTCTTCAGAGACATGATTACGATTACTAAGAGCACATCTCTCAGGATGTAATCTACTAGGTATCACTTTTATTTGAACTGATTCTATCTTTGAGTAGTCTTGACGTTGAGGATGATAATAAATTTTATCGAAATATTGGAATAATTTGTGTTTTAAGAGTACACTTCCGTTCTGCTGATCATCCAAAGATATTTTTCAAGTTTTGTTCTTAACTAGTCAGTAAAGACTGTCCTTCATTTACTTCATTGATAAATAGCTAGCTGACCCAGCAAACGTTGTTTTGCCACATAAATAATATCAATCCCTTGATGCTATAGTGTGTACAATATTTTTTGTTAGTCCATGTTCAGCTAACACAAACGAGATGGTTTGCCTACTCGAGAGCATGCCAAGTATAATTGTTCGTGTTTTAAACATGGTGTGCTGAGATCCAAGTCACAACCGGACATTGTTTGACCTTGGGACTTGTTAATAGTTATTCCAAATGCCAATCATATTTGAATTGAATTGGCACATCTGTAGGTATAATAGGGTTTCGCGGTATTAATATATTTCCACTTTCGAACTTGCCATTTAAAATGCAGGCTTCGACAAAGTTTCTCATTATTTTCTATTGACTTATTGCGTCTGTTGCACAGCAGTGGTCGATTCAAATCATGGAGCGATCCAACCTCCAGTTGTAAATTATGCGGTGGCATGCCTGGCAAATCTAATGAGTTCAAAAACTCTGTTGGATAATTCACAGCTTAGGTGGAATCGCAAATTGTATCCACTCCTAATGGATAAACAATAATAGTATCCGAAAATGTTGTCGGCAGTGATAGGAGGCTTATTGTTTGCGAGAGACCGAGTTCATTGTCATCCCTACTCCGTGCTGTTTACTGAGTGAGAAGTGACACTGAGTAACAATGATTAAATTACTAAAATGGCCATTAAAAATAGGGGTTGGTAATAAAACCCTGAAAATTAAGTTTAAGTTAATATGTGGGCAATAATACTGGGTGACCACATTATAGATTCGTTATTCATTGAGGAAAATGTGAATGGTTCTCTCCATTTGGAAATGCTGGGAACAATGATAGATCCACTGATAGAGGCAACTGTCGAAAATAATTCAGACGAATTTGACATTGACATTATTCTGCAATAAGATGGAGCTCCTCCTGATGTTGCAGTTGCTGTGAGGACTTATTTGAATACTGTTATGGATCGGGAATCGAGGATCTGTGGAATGGCCTCCAAGATCACAAGATCTAACTCCTTTAGATTTCTTCCTATGGGGTTACCTAAAATCTAAAGTCTACGAGAGTCAGTGCCACTCTATTCAGGAGTGGCGTGCGCGGATTACGGAAGTGTATGCAACAATTACTCGCGATAGTTTGAACAGTGCAGGACTGAAATTCAAAATAGACTCTATTTTTGCCAGGAGATCAACAGGGAACATTTCGAACATTTACTGTAATAACAGAAAAAATTTTTGTTAGTTTAGTTACCTTCCTGTTTGTGGTGAATTCTTTGCACGGTTGAATAGATAATCAAACCCCCTTTTTAATCAACATGGTTGCTTCCCTCCAGTAAGGGATGAAATTAGGTGTGAACTATTCATACAAAAATGTACACTTTGGAGATAAAAAATCTACGTGTCTCGACGCTATTCCTAACAAGATTCCAGTAACGAGTTAGATGCGGGGGGGGGGTAACACTTATGATGCGCACTGTATAGTAAATATTTAATGTTAACTCCTAAGATTCTCATGGGTAAAGTATGATGAGCTGTTTTCCGGGTTTTGCTCCATGTTCTGTGTTTTTGATCCTCGCAACCAAGTTGATGCCTTCGGGAAATGAAATAGATAGCAGCAGTCTACCTCTCTATCTCATACAATTTATCTAAAGTAGGTAGGAAGTTGATGATATCTGTTAGAAGGACGCGGTGTGAAGAATTCATTTTGAACAAGTATAGGTACTGAAGATAACATTATTGAACAATCATTTATCATTTATGGTTTTCGTGAACACCTTGTATTTCATTGTGGTATTAGATTTCAACATCATGTAAAATATTATTCAACACTTCCCAATGAATGTTTATCACATATGAATGAAAAATAATGGGGTATGAGCACAGTTTTGATAAGATAAAGTTTATACGAAATAAAGATATCGACTAATAATCATATGTTTTTTCTCGAATATACATGTATAAGTCTCGTCTTTATGGGATGTGAGACATGAAACTCTGAAAGGGGTGAGTATTTTATTTTATATTCAAACTCGGGAGGGTACCCTCACCTACAATGTGAATGATGAGGCCTAGAAAACATTTGATTGAATAAATAGTAACTGTTGACCGTGATAAGAGGCATGTTCTTAAAGTAACTACCGTTTTGAAATAAAGAAATGGCAAGTAAATATTTTTCAAAAATTTTTCATTCATGTGAAAGTCCATTCTATTCTTCATTATACTCCCCAATATTATTACGGCACTTATCGTATCGTAGGACAAGCTTTTGTGTATCATTCACAAAGAAGGTTGCTCCCTGATTAGACAACCACTACAGCACGGTCATTTTGACTTCGTATTTATCGCTGTGGTGCTGCACAGCCAGATGCGCCTTCAGATACAAAAACAAATGGTAGTCACTAGGTGCTAGATCAGGCAATTATTGAGGGTGGTGTGTAGTGTAGTTGTGTACTTGGTTACCGAGTACACCATCGCCCCCGCTACCGGTCCCCCCTCCACTCGTTCAGGTACATAAATACCAGACCAGAATCGATGGACCGACAGTTGACGCTTGGGGAAAGAGACCCTTGTAGAGAACAATGACGAGACCTGAGGAGTAGGCAGAGAGACATCAGTGTAGTGACAGCTTCTTAAAAATGACTTCAAAGTTGAAGCCGAAACGACGAACTAACAATAACACAAAACGCGGTTCAACATTCCAAAAAATGTTTGCCTGAAGCTGTCATTCTTCTCTTCATTTCTGTCAAATCTTGAAGCTGTTTTCTCAAAACAATCGATTAAAGATACCTCCATAGAAAGAATCTAGAGATGGCAAGTCAGGTGATCGTGGAGGCCATTCTATTGCTCCTCTTCTACGAATCTATTTGCTACAAAATCTACCAAAACTGTTTGACTGGAAGGAATTATTGTGGTGGAGCTCCATTTTGTCGAAAGTGAATAAGATCGTCTTGAAAAATCATGTTACCTCAATCCTATTAATTTGATTTTTCAAACCAGTTGTTATTAAGGAGTGTATAATTTTTTCAAGCAGATCTGAGTAGAGCTTATCAGTTAGATTTTCCTCAATGAATAAAGGTCCAGTAATAGTATTCCAAAAGATACCAGTTCCAACATTCACTTTCTCTCTCGACGCTAAAGATATATAGAAATTCAAAATATAAACGCTCCGGCCGTAGACTTGTTGCATGCTTGTTATCGATAAATCGTATTATATTATATCATCAAATTCGCCTTTCGTATGGAGATTTTGTATTGTTCTGAGGATCATTTTATGCTTGTTACATCAATTTTTTTATAACCACTTTCAAAAGCGGATACAGTTTTAGGTTATATGTTCTCTGTCAACGGTATATGTCGATCGCACATTAAACACTAATCATGCGAAGAAAGGAGAGAGAAGCGTCTGCCCGAAATACGGATAGCGCTGTGGGTTAGAGTGAGAGAGGAGGAGCCTGTCTGCCGCTGCCGTATGCGTGAGAGAAAGGGAAGCCAGACAGACTGCTGCGGTATCACGTTACGTATCGAAGCGGTCCCTCACCATAAGAAGATAACACTATCACATAAGAAGTTTCACTTGCGAAATATGGCAAAACACTGGGTTGTACCAAGTTGGTGATTTCGTTCATTTCTTTACTTTTTCAACAACTTTTTAACTAACTTGTCATTCGTGACTACCATACAAGTTCATACGTTAGGTATTTCCTGATAGTAAAAAGTGATAAATGCTCATTATGAATGTAAAATTCTAACAGGGTGCTCGAACAAAATTTCGTAATTTTGGTATCATTTGCAACAAGAGTTAATAATAATTAACCGGCTCCACTGCAAATCGGTCGCAAAGACAAGATTTCATGAGCGTTCGGGTCATTCTTTCAACTGCAGTGGCGTGCGTTTGGGTATTTATTCAGTGTTAAAACTAATAACTTCATAAAAATAAATATCGATATTCTTATTCAAGAAGGCATTAGATATAGGTAAAAATCTTCGTCTTCGTCATATTGTCTTCTTCTTTGATAACACGTTATATGCATTTTCGCCATTTGAGGTATTGCCTCATTCAATCAGGTAAGCTGTGCAGGTATGTGATAAATTAAAAGTACTTTCCATAGAAAGCATTCAAAACTTTGATTGAACTTTTGGGTGTTTAATTAAGAAAATCTAGCAATTACTGATGCTATTGATTATTGTTACTCACCGTATACATACAACTTCAAAAGTCTTCTGAGATTTGTTATATCAAATCATACAACATTGAATGTTTAATCGCCCCAAAAATGTTCGCTTATGGAACAGCCATTTGAAAATGATTCATTACTGCGCTGCTTGATGAAATCAATTATTGGTAAATCAATTTTTTCAATGATGATTAGAATATTCAGAATATTCAAACTTTTTTATTATTTTATTTCACATAAGAAGTAGAAATACTTTAAACATTCATCGTTATGTAATATCACTTCAGTTTATTTCAACTTGATTCATTAAAATAATTTCACAAAATGTTTTTGATACCTAAACTTGTTTACAGTTTTCAATAAATTTCTCGTAAACTGAACAAGGAAGGTCAAGTATGTGGTATTTTTGAAAATGTAGCTGAACGTTCTTCAAAATAAGCTATCACTCAACCCCCTTTCCATTTGAGATTAAAGGGGTCGTGTCCGCTCCACCTGAAGTGTTGATGTAATTTAATAACTGAGCGTTTCTCTGAGTTAGTATTTTTTCTAAAAATTCATACTTATTCCGGGTAAACATAAACGCGCCCTTTTTATCCTCAGAGGGGCGCTTCAGTTGGAATATATTAAAATCTTTTCTTAGTGCACATCTACAACATAAAACGAAGCTACATTCAAAATAACGCCTCCGAAAATATAGCGTTGGGGAGAAACAGTAATGAAAATGTTATTTTCATTTATATACGCGCCCCTTTCACCCCCTCGGGGGGGCTCCCTACTTGGAGTATAAAAAAAAAATCTTAGTGCGCCATTAAATCCTAAAAGGCACCAATACACCAAATTTTAGCTTCCTAGGACTTACCAGTACGAAGAAACAGAGATGAATGAGTGAATGTCAAGTGAGTGACTACGAATTGTTATTCATAAGTAATGTTACGGTGATTTTTTTTGGTAAAAATATTAAATTCAGAAAAACCATCGGAAGAACAGGCTATAATTTAATGAACGACAAATAAAATAATTGGTCCCGTGAAATGTCCGATTCGAATAATTCAATGAAGGCTTCACATGTAGATGATCAAACTGTTCAGTTAGTTATGGATTTATATCATGATACGAATGTCATCATCTTTCGAATTTAGCGGTTATTGTAACTTAATGTAATGTTAGAAATATAACTAGGTGGACATTTTTGTGGGTAATGATGAGAACCTACTGTAAACATGTAGTAGGTACATTATTTTATGCATCATCGATAGTTTTTGCAGTACATGCCAAGTTATGACTTTTATAGGCAGATTTTATTGTGTTGGGTTACCTTATTGAAGCAGTTTCTGTAGGAATCGCTAATTTTTTCTAAAATAAAATACTCGCTGATGATGTAGCATTCAATAGGTGAGATAATTTTCAAAATCAATATAGTTTTTCAATTCATCCATTACAAACAAACATACACAATAAAAATAAAATTTTTACTCCTCATAATATTAGTGAAGATTTTGTAGAGACCTCTATTGTTTCAAATGAAATATATCACATATTATTCATCGATGATGTAGGTAAATTTATTCTCAAAACCAGGTAAGTAGTTTTTGTGTTTGTGTGTTACAAACAGAAAAAGTCTTTCCTTTCACATCCCCTATTGTAAATAGATACTCCGGATATTTTGTACTTTTTATAGAAAAATGATGAATACAGGTTCACCAATACTACAATGAAACCAGTTCGAAGAAAAAGCCTGAGATGTGAAAGAAATGAAAAAAATGATAACTGCAATTGATGCCGCAGGAACCGCTTTACTTCAGAATTATTTGTTAACCAATTCATTAATTGACATTCGTAAACATACCAACATTTATTTGAATTCATTTATGAAATGTGGTTATGATATGCAGGTGATCTGTACATAGGATTACCATGTCATTTGAATGTTAGAAATTTCTCCGCTACATTTTATTTTTCTGGATGTTATGTACCTACGTGAAATAGATTGCAACATCACCGCTTTCAATTTCTGCTCTGTTTCGTTAATCAAAGTAAATTGTTAGTATCTAAAATACTTGTCGATTGAGTATATCTAATAATGATCCCTCAAACATATTGTTATTATTGATATATGAAATGATCATTCGTTTATGTCTTGAAAATTCATAGGAAATACAAATATTATTTCAGTAAATAAATTGTTTATTGTGAAGTCGTCTTTTTTGAATTGGCGATGAAAGTCAGATCTATCCATAGAACTGAAAAGGTATTTCATGATAAATTTCCAATTTCAAATAAGATCAATCACATGTGCCTCCAACTGTTATTTCATGTTAGAATGGAATTCGAATAATAAATTCTGAGAAAACTGGTAGAAATCACTTGACATCAATAGTTGTTCCACTCGCAATGAGCCTTCTTTACTCATTCCCAGATATTCCACAGCGATGTATATTCGAAGCTTCTCCTGAAATGCGTCGAAGTTGTATAACTCCATTGACAAAGAAAGCCCGCTAAGAAACTTCAAGAAGAGGTTCTAATGCTAGTTTTTTGCTAAACAGTGATGTGATGACGCGATGTAAAAATTCCATTTCAGGCTATTACCACATAATGTCTTCCTACTCGAATTTATTCGATCCGTGTAGTCAATTACTAAACATTTATTCACCTACTTTTTTTTCAAATATTTGTTTATTGTCGTTTCTTCTTCCTCTTTACTATTGTCAAGCTTAAATTTAAGAAAAGTGAAATGAACTTTTCTTACTAGATTGGTTGAAAACCAGAGCCTCAACACCAAACAGCACTGTTTCGACCCGCCATAGATCTCATCAGTTATGCTAGGCTAAA